GAAAATGTTTACTTCAGCAGAGCCACCTCACTTTTCGAGGGCTTTATGGTCAGATGAGTGGCCCTGACATGGAAGATATTTGGTCAGCTTTCATGTTCTAATACCAAGTTTTAGTGGCTACAAGCACATCGTCAAAATAGTGACGTATGTTTGGATTTCATCTACATCCCGTCTAATCACTCGGCTAAGCACTGGAGCTTCTGTTTTGGTGCTGAATGGCATGAATAGGAATTAGTAAAGGCCGGAAGAAAACTGATAAGTGGAGAGGGCTTTCAATCCTTCAGGCACTGGCGCCTGTCAGTCGCCCTTCGTAAAATCTAACTTTGAAATATAGCGGCTCTGGCCTAGTTCGGCAAACATCATGTCTACTCGAGTTATTTGTTTGTTGTCAGTTACTAATTTCAGTTAAGCTGCCTGAAGTCAATGCACAGTCGGATGTTCATGTATTGCGCCTTTACCGCGACAACGGCAGCTTATTATGGAGACTCTGTGGCCTCAGTGATGCATTATGTGCACTGCGTTTTGGTTGACGAAAGGTATAGGGTATGAGCGTACCCTGACAAATGTTTCAGTGTTAAGGCATAACTTACACTCGCGAAGGTCCGTCTTTCGTGGCACCACGGCACAAACGTCAAGGAACTTCCTTCGAATTTCATTCATCGCGTCTCTGTAGCTTGTTCTAATGAGTCACCACTAACATAATTATTTGTGTTTACGAATAATGCAGAGCGAGAATGGAATCTTTCGCATGTCAGCAGTGTATGACTATGCAGTAACAGCAGCTCGTAGTCTTTCATTGTAGAGCTCTCTTTTCTCGTCTTTCTTGAGAAGGTAACTGAAAAATAGGCTTCTCCGAAGCTCCAAGTTCTATCACATAGTCCGAGACAGTGTGTTTTCCGACGGCCATGAAGAGTTCTTTCCGTGTCAATATGAACTTGTTTTTATCTGTTTGTAGTAGTGCCAATGCCTTGTCTCCGGGTGATAGCTGTCGACCTCTTACTTTCGTATCGTAATATTCTTCGGCGTAACCATGCCCTTGAAGAATTCTTTATGGGCCACTTTGCATTTGTCCTACAGTCACTCCTGGAGATATTTATTATAGCTATGTGTTGCTTTCGTGTCGTGACCAATGTTCGCCCTTGTCCAAGGTTCCTTAAATATTGACATTGGCCTGCTTACAAATCTGCCGTTGAGGAGATTGAATGGTAAGAGCCCAATGCTCGTTTGTGGAACTTCCCTATAGACAAAGAGAAGGGATCCAATTACCTGTACCAGTGTTGAGGTTGTTTTCAGCACATTCGGCGAACAGTTTGTTTGAGGGTGCCGTTAAATCTCTTCACAAGTCCATTGGTCATGGGATGACAGGGCGTTGTGGGCAGTTGCCGAAACGAAAATAACCGATCTATTTTATTCATAACACTTGAAGTGAATGGCTTTCTACGGTCGCTATCTCTTAAGGTACTTGATATGAGATAACTAGTGCTTCCACTATGCGCTCTGTCTCAATTTCTATAGGGTAACTGCATTCAGGCAACGCGTAGCGAAGTGTACAGTCGTTAGGACATACTTGATGATCTTGGAAGACGGTCATATGTCAGCATAAAGTCAGCGTTTGCGAGTTCTTTCACATAATTTTCTTGCCCAATGTGGCGAAATGCTTCCAGCGTTAGATGTTTGTCCTGTAACTTCTGCAGCTCTCCCTGGTTGATACCGAGGGGGGGGGTTATTCTAAGAACAAGCAGTTATCTGCCTTCTCCCTTTCTTTCCCTGCCGCTAATTTTGCATCACCATGTCGTCCTCTATCCAATGAGGCTGCATTTTCAGGTGCTTGTTCAGGGCCAACTAGATAACGGTGAATCCGTTCTCGTTTTGATCGTCGTGGCGGGGTCAACACATGAAGTGTATCTTAGAATACACCTGCCATGTCACCAAGCACAGTTTCATAAAACGAATTCCTTATACAAACAGCAAGCACCTGACCCTTTAACGAAGGAGATTCAATGCAAGCCTTTGCTTCTGGCAAGTCTTTCACATACCATTCTAGTTGAAAATTGTACTGGTGGTACCAGTCAAGGTGCACTCAGGAACCAGTGACCAAGACGGTGTTGCATCCGGTAGCTCGTAATGTGGCCGCCAACTTACCTTCCAGATAGTCATTTATTGCTGGCATCTACTTTGACCCATTGTCGCAAGTTCTGTTGCCCCTGTTTTCCTCGCATTCCTCATTGCTATAATTCGATTCTTACTTGTTGATTTCTTTCATTGATTTGGCATGGTGCGTTTCTTACGTTCTGAAGACTGATCATGATGCCTCTCTTCGCTGTCCTGAGTTTGAGGGACAACTATCGGGCCTCTGTCAAGTCTTTTTTTTATAAATAAAGCATGCCATCAGCTTTAGCGTTCGAGATATAGTCCAGCAATCGGAAACTCAATTACCTGGCTTGTTGCACGGAAAACAGAGTGGTTTTCTTTTTTCACTTGAAGAGTCAACATCAGTGGTAGCCAATGTTTTCCCTTTTCATGATTTCCTCTAGCAAACTTGAGTATTTCGTGCACTTTCAAATATTGTTCGCTCGTTCTTGCCAATGTGTCCAGGTTATTACATTCTCGATCCTACAGGAAGACATCTAACGTCTCGTCCCATAACTAAAGGAACTGATGGGACGCTAGCTTGTTGAGCTGTGCGTCATAAGCTTAGAGAGTTTTCGCCTGTTCTTTCCAACGGTAGGAGTATCCACAGAGACGTCCAGCGAACGGTGGACCTGTTCCAGCATTCTCGAGCCGGGCTTGTCTAATCCTCATTTAGTATCCCTCCTCTGAGTAACGAAACCACTGGAGAAGCGTCGGTTTGAGCTTTTAGTAAACTGCAAAGTCTTCAGCAGCATCCACCATACCACTGTCAAGGCTTCTTCCGTTAGGCACAAGCTAACTGAAAGGACCCACTTGTTGGTTGACTAGCCCTCTGACAACCTTTTAGAAAATTCGGATGTATCCTTACTGTCATTAGAAAGCGGAATCATTTTGTATGGCCTGCGGACACTGAGAACAACCCATACTATCATCCGCAGAGCTCGTGTTCAGACGCTGCACTTCTGAGACACGACGTTGCTCCTCTAGGAGGAATATTTCAGCCTCAAAACGGGCTATATCATGTTCGTGTTTCACCTGCACAGCTGGGCAAGTCTTCATTTCAATCTTTAGCCCTCTCGGCCCTTATTTCATTTATCTCAGCACTCACTCATGCCCATAACACCTCTCGCTAAGCCCCATCTTCTTCCCTAGCTTAACTAGCTTTCTCTTCTAGTCTATTCTCGTCTACCACACACAAACAACGTAAGGCTCTCCGATAGTACTGGAATGGCTCAGTCCTGTCGCGGAGCCTAGAAATCGTCATAGTTATGGATGTCCATCACGTTGTTTGCGAATAACGAACGAAAAAGCATTAGCATGAGTGCTTGAGAGGTAGACAAGAACTTCATGAAGCATGGTAGTAAGAAAAGAACACAGAAAACAATAGTCAAAAATTATTTGTACAGGCTGATTGGCAATTATGCGTGACAGGAAGTCCTAAACAGTCTAGAGTTCGGCTATACTACTGCGCAACCCTGTTGAGCGCGTATAGTTGCTTAATATTAGGGCGAAACAAAAAAAACCCTATTTCACGGTTCGTAACACTGTCTTCCCTCTTGGTGTGCTCGTCGTCGTGCGGAAAGGCACAAGTGGCACGGAGGGTGGGGCTGGCACAATCATCAACACACGGATGTTCTACCATGTTCGGCAGCGTTGCACAACACTGGGTAGCTGATTCAGCATGGTGGGCCACGACTCCCGAGGATCATGGTCAGCCAACCGCCCACCAAGGCAGCACCAGGCAGGCCTCATCCACGAACCCACTTTCGACCCCTGCACCCAGGCAGGAGCCACGCCGCAGGTCACGTCCTCGTACCCTCATGTAGGCCACCGAACTGAACCTTAAACAAACGCGTCCTGGTACCAAGCCCACCCCGGGAACGCTGAACAAAGCTAGTTCGTTCAAACGGTGCTGAAGAAGCCTTCGTGGCTTCCTATTCTTCCCGTTAGAGACTTTTGCCACCCGTTGCTTGGTAGGTCATTCCTACTTCACCCAACGCAGCTTTCTTGCCACCTCCGCGCTACCTGCCCTCCGCTATTCTGCTTATACTTCCCCTTGCCGCATTGAGTCCTTTATCCTTACGCATCCCCCTTGAAACATCAATTCTGTGTCGTTTCGTTTGTTCTGGTAATGTTATTTTTACTTCTGCGTAGCTCATGTGCCCACACTTTGCCTCAACGCAAAATAAACTGTGTGCAAGTGTGTGTTTTTATTGCATGTGCATCAGCCGTGCGCTCTTACCACTCATCATCATAGAATATCAACCATCCCAAATATGCCATGAGGTTGAAGAGATATGGGAGAGCACCACTTTTTTTATCAATCTAAGAAACTTGTCCGCCAGATTTCTGTGGGTACAAATGCAGTCCCTACAAAACACAGAAAGTATATGGCCCCAAACATAACAATTATCACTTTTAAAAGCTAGATCACCTTGAAATGCCTGCTTTAAAGTGAAACAAATAGCATTTATCTACCTAAGAAGTTTGTGTTGGCTGTGATTCTTCTTCAAAGCATCATAGCCAACAACCAAACTTTCAGCCTCTCAAACTTTCCAGCAAGGCCTTTACGCAAATCCAATTTCACGCTAGGCGTGCTTGACTGTCTGAATCGGGCATGTGGATTGCCGTATTCACAAAATAACCAACTTGTTCTCACCTTCCTGGGTGTTCTCTAAAACCATATGGTGACTAGGAGCTGTAAGGACGTCTACCAATAAGTTACCATCTTGCAATGCTCATCATCGACTTGATGAGCAAAAAAACTGAACAATTGCAATATTTTCGTGGTGGCACACCTATAACGGCTACTTTTTTGGTCTTGAACCACAACCGTTTCAAGTACAGTTGTATGACTCAGTTACGTTTACCTTTTCCACATCTCCCGAGAGCAGATATGTGAATGGGAAATTGGTCGAGGCATTGGCACGACCAGCCCGTCGGAGTGGTCCTACTAGGTGGCTGGTCACGTAAGCATGCTGTGTTCGCGTCCACGCATGTCTTCATTGTCTGCAACTGTAGGCAAGGCTGGCTCCAGTGCGCCTTCTTGTAGTCTGCAGTTAAAAAAAGTACAAGATGTCCTTATTCAAGGGACAGGCTGACTCCAATAGAGGAGTCTCGTCTGTCTGAAGAGGCTTCGAAATAACCATGAAATGCCTAGATTTTGTGAACACTTTGCGAAGCTTACATGAACTTCAATGATTTATTATTCACGCTGCATCCATTGTATCCTTGCCCGGCCGCGGTGGTCTGGTGGCTAAGTTACTCTTCTGCTGACCCGTAGGTCGCGTGATCGAATCCCGGCTATGGTGGCTGCATTTTTGATGGAGGCCAAAATATGGTAGGCCCGTGTGCTCAGATTTGGGAGCACGTTAAAGAGCCCCAGGTGGTCGAAATTTCCAAAGTCCTCCACCATATAGTCTCTCATATATATATGGTGGTTTGTAACATTAAAACCCACATATCTATCTTCATCGCCACCAGAATTGCTTTCTGCCGTTTTAAATAGACTACAGAGCGTCACTGTGCATGTTCCATCTACCGTTCTTTTTTACTTATTTTGTCGATCTTTCCACAAAATACCCGCTACAATGAACATCTTATTGCGGAATGGCAATCTGGGGGTGTCTGTGAGAGCGCATTAGCGTATAACAAACGCCGCATGCCAAACGTCGTACAAACTACCACGGTTCGGAGCCTATATCGATATATAGCACTTTGCTGCTTCAAGCTATTTGCTTTTCGTTGTAATTGTAGCGCAATTGGGCAAACACAGGAAACATTTAAAAGTTGGCTTTGAGCGCAGCCTGCAAGTGCAAACACACGTTATACTCTGAACATGTAGTGATATTCGGCTAGTTATATAGCAACTTAACCCCACAATCTGTACTAGGAATTTTTATGGTTCCCGTAACAATGTGCCAGAAATGACATGCATCCCTGTAGTGAATAAAACAGTGCTTGATTGTTTCAGGCTTGTTGCACAGCCTGCTATTTAGAGATTAGGGCACGTATACACCTTTTTATAAAGCCGTGTCTGTCCTTATAATGTGGAGTTTTGTAGCTTTCAAAAACATTTTTGCTGCTGGCGAAGTACACATACTATACACACGGTACAAAACGTCATGACCAGTTTTGGATAAATATTGCGGTCGGTAAACAGCTGCTGACAAGTGCAGTAGTGAGTGTTGTCTTATCTACACTGTGTAGATATTCTGAAGCAAACCTGGCCATCAAAAACTGCATGACCTCAACAATATCTTTCAAGAAACCCCACAATTGCGAGTTTTCAGTCTCTCTTGTCGTTAAAAAAAAGAGGTTCCAAGCAAATCAATTCCAGTTAACAGCAAGAAGAAACGTGTGACACACAATCTTAAGGTAAAACAAAAAATCGCATATACAGCTGTCGTACAAACAAATGCACAACACTCAGCCCCCGCTTCTCAAGCGACACTAAAAGGTTGTCTTTTCGCGTAGCTTCCCATGAAGAAATACAAATGAAGCAGGCGAAAATTCTGTGAAAAGCATGGATACGCTCGCGAGAGCAATTGAATACTTGGAGTACGTAGACAACCTTTGATGCAAGAAAGATGTTGCACTCTTTAGCTGTAAAAAAACCATAAAGATCCTGTCCTTACCAAGTTAGCGCCTTGAGACGGATGGTGGTTATAGTGGACGTCTAATGAGGGCCAATATTACGATAGTTATCAAGAGGCACAGCCAGAAAAAGAACTGGAGCTCCATTCCAACGAATATTTGCAAAAACACCGAGGAAGTTAGTGCCCACGTGCTCAGCCAGAGTCCTCTGGTTTCATCAAAATTTATATTAGCTGCGGAAATTGTACAAAACCGCATAGTTTTCTTTACTGCCTTCTGAACACTTGGTTTATCCATGCAGAACAAAGCAATGTAATGTGCATATGCTAGGACTTTAATTTCCTTGGCTTCATATCTGTGTCCTCTAATACCTAAAGTACGCAGTTCACCGCGCATCACCACGCAACATTACTGCATTATTTCATGTTGCATTGTGAAGCATACGTACAGGACCCGTGGCTTGTAAAGTATAAAAGCTTCTTTCATTGCTTTTCAAGCAGAGGAAGTTATTTTCACAATTTTCACAAGCAGAGACGTGGCCGTGTAGTGCAACTATCGCTTGCTACGCAAACGACCCGGGTTTGATCCCCACTCAGACTTCATTCACCCTCGTTCGCTTCCTACTTTGCTCCAGGGTTTCTTGATCGTTTATTTATTTTATTTGAATAGTTCTTGATTTTTGGTCAGGCTTAAGATGATGATTGTTTGCTCACAATCAAACGATGCCAAGGCCAACACCGTCACTGGGATTTCTGTGAAACTAGCTCTTTATTGCTGTTGCGTTGAATATCCACGGAGGCTACGTGAAATGCGTCTGCACCCTCTGATCCCCTACTGGAATTCACCATTACTGCAAGTCGTCGGCTTTCAGGTCGAATCTGACAGCGTTATCAATGGTCACCGCGTAGGTTCTGCAATAAGCTACACTAAGGACGTCGTTACCGCAATGTTATCAGAACAGTTTGAATTAATTGGTACTGTTCCCAGGCATTTAGGCAAAGTCTGTTCCTTTTAGTGGTTACTTATGTAACAAGCAGGTCAAATAAAAATACAAAAAGTACACGCGTGCAACTATGATTACCGCGGTAAACACACAACGCAACATATACTGTAACCCCAAACTCATGGCTACTTATGAGCATTCTTTGACGTAGCACGCTCTGTACTATGAGTACGTGGTTATGAAAACACACATAAAATTGGTGTTTAGACCCAGACATACCTACCCTACAGCTTTCTTGGACGCTTGACTCGGCACACAACTAAACTATTGGGTCAAAATAATGAAGGAAAGCATACGTTCGTAAATTTCTATGACCATGTCACAGCTGGGATGCAACATGCTGTGGCCACTACAGCTGTCGTGTACACAAGTACTGACCTTTACTAACTCTCATACGATGAGTTATAAAGACGTAGATTATTTTGCCTCACACAATTGCAAGGTTTATACCGGTTAAACCTTGCCGCTACGTAGCAAAGGTCAAATTGGCAAGTAAATGCTGAATTTAGCAACTTCTGATGAATAAAACAAGATTATAGTAAAAGCTTGCCAGACAAGTATACTTAAAGAGTGGCCTCGGTTGTGATTCAGTCTTCCGCGTGCTATACGCCTTCAAATGTTCGCCTATAAGTGCTTAACCATGATTGTATTGTTCACTTTCGGTGGGGCTTTGGAAGGTTATATGAACGAATAATTCGTCTGCTGCTTTCTTTTAACATGTCGTTATGTCCTACGCTCGTGACTCATCATATAATTTAACAGATTACTGCTGTGAGATACATACCAGCCACGCTGAGATATACGCTGTCCGGGACCACTTGCACCAGGTTGAGGTTGTCGAGTCTGACTTTGGCATCGCATGTGTAGCGGCCAGCATCAATGTCCTCGAGTTCTCGCAGCTCAAGGTGGCTTATGTAGCGGCCTTCGGAAGGCACTTCGAGGCTTGAGTGGCGCCGGCCATTGTCTATAATGCGCGTTCCCTCATGAAGCCACACCATTTCATTGGCCGAGCCAGCACTTATATTCAACTCACAACGGAAGTTGACAAAGCTGCCAAGGCCCATTGTGATGTTTCTTGGGAACGTTATCCTGCGTGAGAGAAGAAAAATAGCAAACTTTTTGCCACAATATTGCTAAAATCTCATTATACAGTTATGGCGTTTCTTTAAGAGCACCGGCGAATATGCGCTTCCTGTTCTTACGCACTCCACAAATTGTTCCCGCAGACGCCTAGCGAAGCACTTTGACAGGCTTCACGACTGCAGCGAAACGTTCGGTTCTTCTAAGGTGCCTAAAACAGCCAATCATCAAGCTAAGGATCCCATGTGTCTATAAAAAGAACTACAACAGACAGCTATACTGAAGGAAATCATGTATAGATGCGCAGAAGTGGGCGCTAACGTTCACACTGGTGGCCGCGTTGAGACTGGCGCTCTTCGCAAAGTTCCGCATCAGAGAAACCTAAGGAGGTAATATTCACAGGAGTGATTGATTGGTGTATCCTACTAGAGCATGCATATCACTGCTGATGGGTTCGAGAGACTGCAGAATCCGATTGGCCACAGAGGCATGCAGTCTGCTTTCAGCTAAAGTTCACGTTGCGAATTTGTGTTGTTCATCAACGCACAGTAGAGATCTTCTACCGGCACGAGCTCGGAGATCAAGATCCAGTGCTTATATATATGAGGTGGCCAGCGAATGGCTATTCACCGTGTGCAGTCGCTTCAAATGCGAAGCATTTTTAGTGAGCTTCAGCGACTTTCAGTGTATCTATCTATCTAGCGAGCCACCTACGAATTTTAGCTCTCCTGCCCATCTCAATAACGGTATCAATAACACACTTGGTATCACATAAAGTCACTGTAAGTCGAGCATAACTGACTAGTAATGACATAAAAATTATGACATGTATGTCAAGAATGTCATGTATTACATTTTATGATCTTGCTGTTCTGGCGATCGTTTGTTCACGTGACATTTTGCAAACCTAGTACGGTATGACATTATTGCGTAGAGAACATAACTAACATACCCTAATGCAGAAATCATGATATGCATGCCATGACTTTTATATCATTACTGGTTATGACTACACGCCACGCTCATGCTGTGCTCGCGGTGGTTTCATTAGCTAAACATATACCGAATTTGGTATTATGGGACGTGAATGAGTGATGAAGGTACATGACTGTTGCAAACATGACAATCACGAGATGAGTGTCTTGTAATTTCATGACTATTTGCCATGCTCATGATGTGCCCGCGGCCCTTTTGCTAGCTTTAGATGTACCAAATTTTGTATTAGGTGACCTGAATAGAAGACGAAGGTTAATGACACGTATGCGTATTATATAATAGCATGACTACATGGGACGCCCCTGGTACGCTCGCGTCCCTTTCGCTACCTTCAGATACACCAAACTTGTTATAACGTGACGTGAATGGACTACAAACAAGACGTCTAAATATTATATTCATTATATGCATGTCATGTGAACCATGACTACTTGCTACGCTCATAGCGTGCTCGCGGCCGTTTCGCAAGTTTCACATACACCAAATTTGAAGCCAGGTGACGCGAATAGACGGCAAAAGTAAACGACACGTGTAAATGTTATAATCATGGTATGCATGGCTTGTAAAACATGACTACATGCTACACTCGACGGTATCGAGGCCTTTTCGCTAGCTCCATGTATTCGCAATGCCCATGGCCTACAGGTGGCGCGCCGCGCAATCAAACATGGCTGCGGAAAGATGATCCACCCTTGAACTCGCCTAAGAAAAATGGGACGCACGGACGTACTCTCCGTGCCGCTTTTTCTTGATGAACTCTTGATCGTCAAATGGTTGTATATCGAACCATATACTTTCCCTACCAATAGGAACTGGTGAATTTCGGCTACCTCATTCCTTGCCGCAGTGCAAAGGGTGGTGGTGTCAGCTGATCGACCATATATCAACGATGCTTTGCGTAATTCTGTGCGTGGTACAGGAAACTGCGCGAACTAGAATTCAGGTACGAACTAAGTGACACTTCGAGATGATTGGTGCCAAGCCTGCCTGACGGGTTTGCCGTAGTATTGACCCAGTAGCGAGTAGCGCGCCGTCGCAGCTGCATAGAACCGAATGTTTAAAGGAGGAATGATTTGCAAACATATTACGCCGTCGTCATTACATGCACTGGAAGCATTATGCAGCTGCCTCTTCAACAGAACACAAACATTTAACTTCCCATTAAGTAGCGCTTGTGTCATAGCCATGATCAGACTCTAACAGTGCGCAATTCTCGGCACACGGATGTTGCAGGTTTCATAAGGGCGATCAAAATAAGGCTATCGACACGTGTAGGCTTTTCGCAACGTCAAAATTGCGAAATCTTGTCGAACAACAGCGTCGTTTGAACGACACCGGTGAAGTTTAGGAGAATTTAGCGTGAACTGCAGTCGTAACTGCACGTTTCATTGCTCTAAGCATGTCGCTTCGCTGAGTGAGCTCGAGTGCGTTTTCGGCATGCAGTGCTTTGTAATATCCACTGTAATTGGGATACATATTCGATTCACAAGAAAAAGTATATGCTTTTATTTTAAGCTCGCTCAAAAATATTACACAATAAGTCAACCAAAGTGACTAACGAACGTGAAAAAACTTTAACGCACGACAGGATGTGAAGTGCAACTTCATGCTCGTGAGCTAGCTGCTGATCACTTTCGTCGCTGTCACTCTCAAGACATAGACAACCATCTACATCCAGTAAAAAATCCTCGACATCAAGACGGTTTTTTGAACATCACTTCTGAAAGTAATCCGAAGAATTCTCCCCGCCAAACGACTTAGATAACATCAACAAGCGTCATTCACCACGAACAGCAGGCACACGGCGTCACACGCCACGTTTACCAGGGTGCGGAGACCATTTCGCGTAGGTGTTCTGTGATTTTGCTCCTGTACCAGGCAAGAAAAGAGTCGCTTGCAGTGTGCTGCCATCTATCAACGAACATAAAAAAAAAAACAAGTGGTGCAGCGCAGGTGAAGGTTTAAAAACGCAAATTTTGAACCGGTGCTACTTTCCACCTAACACGATTGTTAAGGGGTCCATACACCACAAAAGCACTGACGAAGGCTATACCCACGTAAAATAAAGCGAGTTTTAACTGGAATAGTCAAGACGATGATGTTTAACTATCCAAAGATCCTGCAGAAAATATCGCGAAGCTGATATGAGTCCCCTGCGGGCTATAATCGAAAGCGTGAGTGTCCATGTATTTCACACAAAACTTCGTGTCTTGCAAGAACAAACCAGATTCATCATGCCATAGATGGTCCGCTTTATTCCCTGATGCACGAAACATAGAAAGTGGTTTGTGTTTGTTTTTTATTAATGGGTTAACACGGCGGCTAGCACCAACGAACAAAAGAGCATTGGGACCGTCTGCCTACTGATCATCCTTGAGAGGTCGCTCCCGAATTCCGCTAAACCACGCGATAGTCTATGAGCATTGCAAGTACCCGATTCGGTATAACGTGACGTGCACTACGACGGTATATGTCGCCCCAAGCATGATATTCTTCGTATGCGTGTCATGTGAAACTTGATTACATGCTATGCTCATAGCGTGCTCTCGGCAGTGCATGGAAGTCATGTACGACGTAAATTTTGTCCACCTCGTAACGCCGTGCTCAATATGTGCACATATCAACCTTCCACAATCGTGCTTCGGATATCATCGACTCCCACATTACACTCTTAAAAATAAGTTAGTAAAAAGCTAGTAACCATAAGCAAAATGTTAGTAACAGTAGCTGTTACTAACATTTCTGGGCCATTATTACCCTTTTACTACCCACGTTAGCAAATCATTGAAGGTGCAACGATTTTGCACAGTTAACAAAACATTGAAGGTGCAACGAGTTTTTTGCACAGTTAGTAACTTTTCATTATGCACGTATTCAATGAACTTGTTAAACAAGTTTTAGAGGTTATTACTACGAGCTTCTAACAACATATCTAGTAGCCCGGGGATGCATTCAAGTTCATTAGGTCAATATATCCAAGCTTACTACAAAGTCCTATTTCTTGAATATGAGACATGTTGAGGCGGTATTATGCAAAATAGACTTAACTAATTGTTTTTCTTATTACGCTTGCTTAAAAGTCCTATACTACGTTACCTCGCTCTTCTAAAAAAAGTGAACGTTGTACAAATAAAGGCTACTTATTTCAATTATACATCCTACAGCATAGCCGCCCACCGGCACCAGCTCCGTTCCCCAAAGTTAGTGCTGTAAATACTCCCGGTACCGCTTAGGAACTGTTCTTCTCGCGAGAACTTGTGTATGTGTGGAGTTCTCCTTTATGGCATATGTGCGTTATTACTCAGTGATATATAGAAATGTTGATGCTCGCGAATAAGACTGTTAATAAAACGGATGATTTGTGAGACAAAGTGATTGCGCCTATAAAATTCTTATATTAGTAACAATTACTAACTGCGTTAGTAACGGTGGAGGTAGTAACGGTAACTAACCTCACTTAATAACCAGTTAGTAACATATGTGACAAGCATATAGTAAAATGAACTTAGTAAGTACTACAACCTTTTTTTAAAGAGTGTACGTGGGATCTGGCAATATTTTTCAATGAAGAAAATCGCGAGCAGACACTGCCTGTGAGGGCTTGCTGAGGCGAAAGAGGCGGGAGCGTAGGAAAGGAGAGAGAGGCCAAGGGGAGGCGCATTCGCAGTGGGTGTGTAAACACCGCACATTCAATTGAACTCGACCATTACATGTTTCGTATCTGAAATCAATATCTGTCAGTACAAGCACAGCTCTGTCTTTCTGTAAGTGCGGTTTGTTTGTCTACATGTGCCTTCAATTCATCCTCTTTTTACGTGTGCTACACAGAAACCTACTGATGTTCGCATGACTTCTGTTCCACGAAAAAGTATCAAGACTTCACTCACGTTTACACCGACGGCTCTGTCTTACCAAGCACCTCATCAGTGCCGGTCTTCATTCCAATGATCGTCACAACTATCATGTTTAGGATGGCTCAACCAACAACTTCAATGGCTGCGGAGCTTACAGCT